GTGGGAGCCCCTTGAGGCCCGACGTGGTGGTGGGAGGGATGTTAATTGGGAGAGGAGTGGAACAAGACACTGGACTTACTGGGGGCCAGGAGGGTTTTACCACTGCCAGCTGGTTTAAACCAATAGGTTTCGGAGAGGCCTGCTTTTTGGGGAAGGGATTAAAGTGTACAGGCACCACCCACGGGCCTCGTAAGCCAGAGGAACAGAAAGAGGCGAAGCAAGAAAAGCACAAGGGTGGCAAAGCGACATCTTGGAGGGAAAACCCAGCAAGAGTCTGCCAGAGCGGAGCTTCGACGCGCAAACGCAGAGAAGATTCGAGGGGTTCAGCCCGAGACAGGCGACCACGATGGTGCCAAAACAAGCTTACGTGCTCCTAAAAGGCAGCAGGAGAGGTATTCCCCAGGGCGGCAGCGCCGTGGCCGAGCCGAACCCTGGTGAAAACGGCTTTGGCGAAGACCGGGTGACGGCGAGTTGCCATTGCGGAGACTCACGGGACCGATCGGGGCGACCGGTGCTACCCACGGAGCGAGAGCTGGGGGTATCGAGCGTAGCCGCGAGGGAATCGCTGCCCGCAGGCTCTAAATAAAAGCAACAAAATACGTTGGGAAGGGAAAAAGAGTAATTTCGGCGGAAGGATGGGGCCGGTGAGGGGAGCGAAGAGGCAGCGAGCGGCGGCGGAGGAATTCGCTGCAGCGGAAGAGGATCCGACCGCAGCCGCGTGGGAGCCGCTGGGCCAAAAATACACCGGGTTTTTTTGCCCCCTCCCATGGCGTCAGTGACGCCCCCAGCCCGCCCAGCATCCCCAGTGCCCATGGGATGGCCAGGAACCCCCTGGCAGCCTGGCCCCTCACCCGCTTTCCACCCCTCAGGTAGGCCCAGCGTGGCCCAGTTTTCCCCCAGTATCCCAAGGATCCTCCCTGCATATCCCAATATCCCTCCCCGCGCCCCCAAGAACACCACAAGCCCTCCCAGCACATCCCAGTCTCCCCTGGTGCCAACCCAGATACACCCATCACAGCCACCTCTCAAAACCCATTTACAACCAGAAACTCCCAGTATGACCCAGTCACCCCCTAGTATCACACAGACCGTCTCATCTCTTCCCTCCTCCCATTACGACCAGACTGCCCAATACACCCCAGTCTCTCACAATACTAACCAGACCCTCTCACTTCATCCCCTCCCTCACCTCCACTACAACCGGATGCCCCCAGTATGCCCCAGTATCAACCAGACCCTCATCCCACTGCCCTTCCCCACCCCATTACAACCACACCCTCCCAGCATTCTCCAGTCCCCGCCAGTATCAGGCTCTCTCATGTCACTGACCTCCCCCCTTCCCGCATTCCAACCACACCACCCCAGCACGCCCCAGTCCCCTCAGTATCGGGCTCTCTCATCTCATCCCTTCCCTCCCCCCCATTACAACCAGACTCCTCCAGTACGCCCCAGTCCCTCCCAGGATCAACCAAACCCCCTTATCTCTCTGTGCTCCACCACCACCATTACCACCGCACCCTCCCAACACGTCCTAGTCCCCCCCAGTATCAACCAGTCCCTCTCATCTCACTGCTCTGCCTCCTCCCATTACAGACACCCAAGTACTCCTCAATCCATCCCAGTAACAACCAGTCCCTTTCACCCCACTGCCCCCCATTACAACCAGATACCCCCAGTATTCCCCAATCCCTCCCAGTATCAACCAGCCCCTCACCTCACTCCTCCCCCTCCCCCCATTTACAAGCACACCCACCCAGCATGCCCCAGTCTTCTCCCAGTACCAACCAGACCCTCTCCTCTCATTGCCCTCACCATT